ACACACCTGTGGGCCCAGCACACACCTGTGGGCCCAGCACACACCTGTGGGCCCAGCACACACCTGTGGGCCCAGCACACAGGAGGTAGAAGCAGGGCCATCCTTGTCTGGACCCACCCTGGGCTACATGAGCTCCTGTCTAAAAATAACAAAACAAAACAAATACTAAAAAGTCACCAAGCCAGGCTGGGCACTGGTGGCATAGACCTTTGATCCCAGCACTTAGGAGGCAGAGGCAGGAGGATCTCTGTGAGTTCAAGGCCAGCCTGGTCTACAGAGTAAGTTCCAGAATAGCCAGGACTCTTTTACAGAGAAACCCTGTTTCAAAAAGAAAAACAACCACCAAGCCAACAGCAAAAAGTTAATGTAATTAGTTATAAATTTGTAACCTGTGGCCCTCACAGTCACAACACTTGGCAGAACCCTACTGCAGATGGCAGGAGTCCCACAGAACCAAGAAAGGACTTAGGATCCCCCCACTTTTCTTTATTCCTCCCCCTCTTTTTTCACACACACACCACACCACACCAGAATCCAGAGGTCAGGGGCTCCCCCTTTGCCACAGAGTGCCATGCGGAACCTACTAGAGCTGGGGGACTTGGAAGTGTCCCCTGCTTTGTTTGAGTCTCCCCTTCTGTACAGATGTCTCCAGCTATTTTGTTTGTTTGTTTGCATTTGTTTTTCGAGACAGGGTTTCCCTATGTAATCCTGGGTTGTAATCTATGTGTCTTGGAACTCACTCTGTAGACCAGGCTGGCATCGAACTGAGAGAGCCACCTCCTTCTGTCTCCTGAATGCTGGGATCAAAGGTGTATACGCCACCATGCTTGACCCTGTCTTCTCTTGTTCTTAAAAAGAAAAAAATTGTGTGTGTGTGTGTGTGTGTGTGTGTGTGTGTATGAGAGAGAGAGAGAGAGAAAGAGAGAGAGAGGTACCAAGTGTAGTGCCTGAGGAGGTCAGAAGAGAGCATGAGCTGTCCTGGAGTTGGAGTTACAGGCGGTTGCGAGCTGCCCAATGTGGGTGGTGGGAACAGAACTTGGGTCTTCTGTAAGAGTCATCTCTCCAGCTTCATCTCTTTGCTTTTTAACGTTATGAGTACTGCTGTTTTGCCCGTGTCTGTGCACCACTAGCAGGTCCCATGTATGCAGAGGCCAGAAGAGGGCACTGGATCCTGGAAGTGAGTTGCCATGTGGGTGCTAGGAATCAAACCTGGGTCTTGTAGAAGAGCACCCAGTGCTCCTAACTGTTGGCCCATCTCTCCAGTCTTATCGTTTACTACTGAATTCCAACCTTACATAACCACAGCCATCTCTAGAACCTGGGGACCATCGCAGGACCCAACGTTCCCCTTGTAGCTACTTTACCCCCTCCACTCTTTCCTTTTCAAACTCCATTTAACACTTAATCTATACCATCATCTACAATGGCTATCCTCCCAACCCCCGATCTTATTAATTAAAATCAGAGAGCACTCCACACTGTCTTTGGTTGTTTATCCCCCAATAGCTATTGAAGTCAAAGAGGCCTCTGTGATTAATTTGGCTGTGTGACATTTACTTAGTGGGAAACCAAAGAGTGGTATTTGTTCTCTGAGTTAATATCTTACTCAGGGAATACAATAGAGTGTACACCCAGCACCCTGAGCTCCTGCAGTGAGCAATTATTTTCTGAACCGCATACTCAACACTGCCACATCCAAGGCCCACTTGAATGCTGCACACTCTTCAACAGAATGATAAAGTAAGAAACCAAAAATATATACAAAACTAAAATAAAGCAATCAGTGAAGTAATAGTTTGTGTAAATCCTAACACAGTAACACAGAAATAAGAAACGGAGTTGGAGAGATGGATCAGAGGTTAAGAGCACGGCTGTTCTCCCAGAGGTCTTGAGTTAAATTCTCAGCAACCACATAGTGGCTCACAATCATTTGTAATGAGATATGGTGCCCTCTTCTGGCATGAAGGCAGAACACTATATATACACAAAACATAAATTTAAAAAAGAAAGAAAGAAACAGGAAACATCAAGACAATATAACTCTTCAAAAAAATTAATCCTAGAACAATGACATCTAGGGAGAGTGAGTCAGATGAAATCCCAAACTGGGCATTGGTGATACACACCTTTAATCCCAGCACTCAGGAGGCAGAGGCAGGTGGATCTCTGTGAGTTCAAGGCCAGCCTGGTCTACAAGAGCTAGTTCCAGGACAGGCTCCAAAGCTACACAGAGAAACCCTGTGTAGTCTCAGAAAACTGAAACAAACAAACAAACACCAAAAGAAAAGAAAGAGAAAAAGAAAGATGAAATCCCAAACAGGAACTTGAAATAATGACAAAGATGTTCAAAGACAAGAAAAGGAATAAATAAACGGTAGATGATGTGAAAGAGGAATTCAACAAAGAGAAAGAAATGCTAAAAATTTGAAATTGTGGGGGAGAAGTCTCAGGAGTAGGGTGAAAGAGAAGAGAGAGGAGTATCAGGTCTGAAGACAGTGGAGGGAATGGAATAATCTGACAAGGAAAAAATTAATGAAAGGGAACAGTGGGAATTTAAGATGTATGTGACACTCTGAAAATACTCAATATAGCCGGGCGGTGGTGGCACACGCCTTTAATCCCAGCACTCGGGAGGCAGAGGCAGGCAGATCTCTGAGTTCGAGGTCGGCCTGGGCTATAAGAGCTAGTTCCAGGACAGGCTCCAAAACTACAGAGAAACCCTGTCTCGAAAAACCAAAAACCAAAAACCAAAAAAAAACAACAAAAAAACCCCCCAAAAACCCCCAAAAAACCAAAAAAGCCAAACCAAACCAAAAACCTAAATATATGGGTTGTAGGCATAGAAGGAGAAGAATCTTGTTCAAAAGACACAGAAAACACTGTCAAAATAATCCTAACAGTTTCCCAGAGTTGGGAAAATCTTCCAGATAGACACCAAACAGACAGGACCAGAGAAGAATCTCCCCTTACATTATAATAAAGCGCCATACATACAGAACAAAGAAA